AACCCAAAAGAAAAACTGACTGCTTTCATCGGCGGACACATTCAACCGGGTAATAATGAAATTCAAGAGATAAAGCAAGGTTTTACATTCAAATATTAATGATGTACGACGAATGATTAAAAATAGTTATTAAAAAAAATAAGATTCTACATTTGTACCTCTTGTATCTTTTTGCAATTTTTCACAAAAGACCAACAAAAAGTAATGTTTAGTTTGAAAAGTGGGATATTCTTTTTATGTGTTGAAGCGAGTCTTGCTTGAAACTGAAGCTGCAAATGTTTTTGCTGTTTGTCTCTATCAGCTTTGCTAATTAGCGGCTGGAAAAAAGAAAAAAAGTACTCATTCTTCTTTACAAAGCACCTGTGGCTTTCTCAGATTGATTGAAAACAGCCAGTGAAGATCAGTTTTCAAGTCTTTCAACTAAATCACCGTGGTCGTAAACTGAAATTATTCTTTTGTAGCTCTGGCTGTATGACGGTGTGATCATCCTGTTGGAAATTGAACCAAAGTATCAGTCTTAAGTCTTTTTAAAAATCTCTAATTATTCCAGGAATACCCTGAATTTTCCTCGTTCGATTTTTGCATCGGGACTTCATAATTGTTTCTGGTGAAGAAAAGAATTCCCACTGCATGATACACCTGCCACCATGTTTCTCTTAGTGCATGGTATGTTCATGATGACCAACACCACACATAGCATTTGGTATTTGGACAAAAAAAACAAAACAAAAAAAAACACCTTCTTCCACATATTTGCTACGCTTCCAACATTGTTTATGACACACTGTAAACCAGGCTTCTTATCGATCTCTTCATGCCATTGCAATATAGACCAAATTTTGCAGTAAATGACCATTAGTTGTTATGCTAACTTTCACACCTGAGTTGTTGATCTCCACAGCTACAATAGGGCTTTTGGCTGCTGCTCTATATTAATTCCTCCCTCTCTGTCAGTTTATGTTGTCAGTCTTCTTACCCAGTAAGCAACTGCAACAGACAGACAGAATTTTATCCAAGGGTACCAGCGTAAATTGGGGTGCAAAATCTTCAGATGTCAAAAGATGTTGTAAACAATTCTTTTGCTTTCCCTTCACTATTACTCATTACTTTGCGTTGTTCTGTCACAAAGGCGTCAGACGAAATACATTGAATTCTGCGGATGCAAATAAAGTGACGTGCGTGCATGTTTGTGCACAATACTGCTATTGGTTGAAAATATGCTTAGGCACCTACACATTTGAAGTGTTTTTTTTTTTTTACTTGCAACGCTGTACTCAATATAGAACAGCAGTCTGTAGTGAAAAAACACTTACTGGATCAATACACTGGGATCTGCAGGTCTATATCTCCATGCAAACAGGAGCAGTTTTCTCTGTGATGGAGAAAGAATGCAAAATTATTTATGATGAAGACTGAAGACTACACATAACAGTGTTGCTTTTAAGAATTTAATGGCTCACTCATTCATCTTTCCACCTCATCTTGTCGTGATGAAAATTGTGTTTTGTACTAACATGGCATTTTAGTGGTTTTGCATCTGCAGCTTCCTGCAGATGGTCAGTGTTCACTAAGTCTGACCTTTTAGACTCCTATTGTTCAGGCAAGTATTTAAATTATGCACAGGGCATTTGGGTTATGATAGAAGAAGAGGAAATGGGCAAACTATGTAAAGGTGTTGTTAAAAGTTATTAAAAGCTTTGACATAATTCAATCTTTTACTGCATTAGCACTATATCCCATTGCTAAAATACCACAATGTTTTAATTTGTATTACCCTACCCTAACCCATTTATCTATTGGGAATAATATACAAAGTTAAGAAATATTTATAATAGTATTTTTGAAACATTTGTTTTTTTAGATTTATCAGAGTGTATATAAAGTTTTAAGTCACCATGACTTCCTTTTTCATTTCTTGGCAGTAATAATGACAAGACTGCGGCTCATTTCTCATAGGCATCCTTCAAAAGACATGTGCTGACCCTCATAAGTCAGGAAAAGGCTGAAAGTATGAATTTACCAAAAAAGTGACCCATTTCTACAGGCACAGCATCAATTAAAAGGGTCTAAAAATCTGGAACTCCGACCAAGAGGGTTGGATGTAGACCGAGATTCTCAAATGTTGGACAACTGCATCAACGTGTGATGTCAAGCTCTAACTTGGTCTCCATAGCAACAATTAGATGTTATCTATGTACCGCAAGTAGTTGTTTGGGACACATTTCAGGAAACAAAAAGCTTCTGTCTCCTTTTGGGATTTCAACTGGAACCCTGCACTTTTGCCAAATGAGGAGAAAATCGAGCTTTTCAAAATTATGGATCTTTTCCCATCCGTTCTTCTTTTCAGCTCATCACAGTTTAAATACGGGATTTAGATCTGGGAACACAACGAAAAAAGGGTTATTTTTGGTTGCTAGGAAGCCTTATATTTGTAGATTTGGCCACTGGATAATCTTTGAAAACATATGACAAGATTTACAAAGCAGGACAACAGTAATGACAGCGGATGAATGATTTCTCTCAGATGCTCCCACTTTGTTAAAAGTAGAAGGAAAAGTCCCGGCTAATAAAAGTCTCAGCGTGGTTTTGCCTGAAACAATCATTTCTTAATGTGAACACCAAAACAAATATGACCTAAATATATATTTGTAATCGAATTTGAGTGAGATATTATGCTTTTGCAAAAAAAAGAAAAAGAAAAAAAAGAAAAGATAAATTTATTTCAAGCCTTTTTGTGCATCTTTACCAGAGGTGCCAATAAGCCTGGAAGGGTTATGAATGAGACGCTGACTGCTGTGTTCCTCCAGCCAGTCAGTGCATGCAGAAAGTGCTTGTGAGGAGATATATCTAGAAATCTTTTGCAGCACATAAAGGTTTTTGAGAAAAGTACAATCCATCTTTTCCTTCAGGTTATTAAAAGTACAATTCTACACTTCCACAGTTTGGTTGAGAAACACTGCCAGGGACATTGCCCACTCTAAAGAAAAAAAAAAAAAAACGGAGCCCACAAGGGAGAGGAACTGATGGCAGCAACACTCAGCACACGTCTGTAGCCCATGGTGCACTGCTTAGTTCTGCTGACCTACTTCGGATTCGCACAAGCAAGTTCTGGAGCTCCAGGTCTAATAATGTGGCAGTTTTTAGGAAACCGAGTAGTGAGATTGGTTGCGAAACGTTTGCTTAATAATTTTGAAATTTAGTGGATTACACTCTTATTTGATCTCAAATTTTTGGATCGTAGCACAAGCGCTGTCATAGTTTCACAACATTTGAATCCGTTCAAAGTCTTCATATTGCAGACCGTTTCCAAAGCTTGTGAAAATGCTCAGTTAGTCGCATTACATCAAATATCAATGCATTGTCGTGGGATTTTATAAGCTGGACCAACACGAAATGGAATATAACTGTAAATTACACCTTTTCCGTAACATTTTATAGTAATGCGAATTTGAAAACTGAGACATTCATACATATTTAGCGACCCTTGCTCTGACACCCCCACATAAAATGAAGTGCAGCTGAAACATCAATGTCTGGATGAAAGCATTTTCATGTATCATTGGGTCACACGACTACTTTTACAAGACACTGTTATATATCTTAATATTACTGATTCTTAGACAAATACTGTTACTGCTTAAAAGTCAGATGGCATAAATAATCTACACAAGGCATCAGCCTGTGCTATAAACTCTGTCTATCAGACATGAGAGCCTGCAGGACTGCAGACTGAAAGCCCTGTGTGGCTCACAACAAACAGACTGGAAGAGTCTTATTATTATGAAAAAGCTATTTGTCTGCTTCTGAAATTACCTCTCCTTTATATAGTTTTTAATTTCGAAGAATTAGTACAGAGCTTTATAAAGAGAAAGTGGGTCAAACTCCATGTGTGAGGGAATTTCAGAGGAATAGCAAGGGAGAGAAGGAGGGGGTGGGGGGGGAGCATTTTAAGAAGTCACTTTTGATGACTTCTGCAATACATTTCTATCACAGACACAACGGAGAGATGGATTAAAAATCTTTATTCAAACTAGCATAATCAGGCGTTACATTAAAACCCAATAAGCAACATCAAAACCGGTCAATTAACAAGACATGAAAGTAAAGAAAGCCCATTCTCACTCATACTGTCTCTGATTGGCGAAGCGGGATGAAACCGGAGAGCGTTTGGTACAACTCTTGAAGCTTACTGTACAGCATGAACGGCAAAGTAGCTGCTAGGAAAAACAAAACAGAAAACAAAGAAAAAGACAATTAACTCACTTACAGCCTACTACACTGAGCACAAGCATCCCCTGTGCCATTCGATCACAGTGAATACAGAAGATATCAAAAAGGTATGTTGTATAAAAACACAAAGTATAAAGCAGTTTAATTTACAATTAATGCGTCTATTGGTTCGTAACAGAACCACTGTTCTGAGTCTAAAGGTGCCTATCCAACAAGCAGCTCAAGATACTGTAACCTGGGAAAAACAAATCGATTACACATAAAAGGAAAAAAAAACAACAACAAAAAAAAAAACTGCTGGGTTATTTTTCCCTCTTTTATGGGTTTATTCTGCTGGGACAGAAGTCGGGTCACATCGACGTCAGGTTAAAATTTGCGACTCTGTCAGGTTTCAGTAGACGCCAGGAAGAGACTCGCCATGTTTTCACGGCCGAACATTTCGAATAACGAATCAGAATTCACTGAATCTCCTCCACAGAAGTTAATCAATTTAAGACTATAAAAATAGAATGTATAACAATGTCAATGTGTTGAATTAATAAGCAGTTCACAATAAAAAAATAAATAAAAATGTTTTGCTCACTGGCTAGTGCTAACTCTGATCAACCTTCACATTTTAACCAAAGAACTGGCCATAAAGTTTATGTAGATAGGCCTAAAATCTGTATGTATTTATGTTTGCTTTTTTTTTTTTTTGCAATGTGTTCAAATAGCAATAATTGTTTTGTTTAAATTCATTTTTATAGTTTGCTATGTTTTGGAGCTTATTAGAGCTTATTTCTAATATAAGCTTATTAGAGCTTATTTCTAATATCATCCATTAGAAATAGTTCAAATGATTCTTTAAAAAGATTTCCTGAAGTACCCTGCTTCTCACTGACCGACTACTGCAGATCAGCAAAAAGCCTAGAGAGGCTGACCAGGGGTGGCCAGGTCTAGGGTATAGAAAATGTTCATCAGAGTTAGCACTAGCCAGTTCTGGGTTGATGCTGTTGAATCTATAACTATTGTTTTCTCAATGCTTCTTCTAGCTGTGTTGAAATTTGATGCTTTGACCAAAAATAATTTGCCATATTCATAGAATCTGCTTTACATTTTCATGAGATTCTGTTTTAACTTTGAAATGCATTTATAGATTTTTTTTTCTATTTTTTTGTGTTTATGCCATCAGGAAAAATCATTGGTAGTGTTAACAAAAACACTGGGTAAAAACCCAGAATATGAAGTCAAACCCATAACTCAAACCTATTGAGTTATGGGGTTAAAGTGTTAAATCAAGCCCATAATTTACAGAGCACCAGTTTAAAAAAAACAAACAAAAAAAAAACCCAGCAGTTTTTAGTGTGCACGAAATGCTATTGTTTAATTTGTCAACAGTCATCTTGTACAAGGCAGAAGGCACGCGAGGAGCTCATCATATGTGCAACCCGATAACTGCATTAACACTGTTGGAATCAATCAGTTCTGCCACTGATTGCACATCTAACATGCACTTGACCCTCATTATGCGACATGTTCAGGCTGACAAGCAGCCAGCTAGATGCTTTCAAAGGTGAGCAGCACGAAAAAGAAGAAAATAAGACGTTGGGGGGCGCGGGGCGGGGCGGGGAGGTTGGGGGTAACATTTCACTGACTCAGAGCGTGAAGCCGAATACATCCAGAAATATTCCCCCTTCGCTGCATTTCCGCAGGAGTGCTGCATGGGATCACATTTAGATTCCGTGCATATCCCAAATTCAAACCGCTGTCATCCGCTTAATACATTTTGTGCACTGTCAGCAGAGTCACTACAGGAATACTGTCGCTGTAATTAACACAATGTTCTCTTTCCTCTCCTAATCCAGCCTCCCTAAACTCAACGCCGGTTACATTTGATCATGCAGCAGCCTAATTAGCACTCTTAATAAGCTTCCTGTTACAGAGAAATTGAAGTCCTGGACTTGACGGCGGTGCGGCAGCACTACATTTGAGGTCATAAAATGTTTTCTTACTCCATTGTTTTATTCATGTACACAACTAAAACGACGGCACTACACTATAAATATGCAACAAAATGTCCTTTAAGAAGCTCACGAAAGCAGCCATAAAAGTTACTACATAAAATATATATAAAAAACATTAACAATTATCAAAGAATATCTTGCCGCTACCTCCGATCATACACTGGCCAAGATTATTACTTCTTCTTTTTATTTTTTTTAATAGTTTTACTCTGGCTATTAAACATATTTATGGTTATTTATATTTTACTTTAGATTATGACCTCATATATCATCTTTCTTTTTTTTTTCTACCAGTTGTGTAATTCCTAAAATCATTTCTTTAACAGTTTTTTTTTGGGGGGGAGATATTTGGGGGGAAATTCCTTCTAAAAGAAACATTTGATTTTCAGTCGAGTCGCTTTACTGTTTGCGAATGACACATTTATGAAGCTCTTCCCTCTGGCAAAACTTTGTAATTGTCACCGGCAAGCTTCCTCTCACCTCAACAGGAAGAGATGAACTGATTGTTTAAAAATGTACAACAGTTTTTGATTTTTTTGCTTAGAAACTTGAGAGTTTGCATTGCAATGTACAGTTACTGTTAAAAGTTTACATGCAATCATCACAAACTTGACTAACGTACATTTTTGGTTTATAGTGATGCATTTGAACAGTTTTTTTTTAAAGTTGGATAAAAAAAAATAAATTTAATTAGCACATTAATTAGGAGCAGAAATTTATCTTGGACTTCTGCTAATCCGCGCAGCAGGGGCGGAGCCGTTGGTGGTCGTTCCCATGGGAAGGGAACTCACCAGAAAGAGCGCGCCTCTGCAATAAGCAGTTCCCCTCCAAAACAGTTGGTGGCAGCAGTAGATGGTTGGACAGCATATCTTTATAAAAATAGGCGTATATTTATTTGTTTCAAGAAAATATTTTCTGTTTTTTGTGAATTATTTGGAAAATACGCATGATGCTCTCCAAAATGGCTCCCGCACAGATCTGTTGTCGGCCACCTCTCAGTGATACGGTCTCAGCCTATGAAAGGCTCTGCCATTGAAAATAAAAAAAAAATAAAAAATTATAACAAAAAAAATATAAATAGCTCAATTATATACATATACACCAACACTAATATTCTGGCACAAACTAAGTTTTTCTTTTCAGTTTTGTCTACAAATTTTCAATCGGTTTCATTTCGGGATTTCAAAAGGTCAATCGGGAAGCTTAAAAAAAGCCTTACCGATGTAATTATGTTGTGTTTTTTGGGTTGATTTACCCACCTGAACTCTAACCTGCTTCCAAATTTTAACCATATTATACAAACTGAAACTCTCAGATTAAAAAGACATTAACTACAATCGTCAAGAACCAAAGAATCACCAAGAGTTCCACTATACTCCAAAAATAACACCTTCCGGCACGACTGAAAATTTTACAATCTTTAGAAGGAGACAAATTTATTATAATATTAAGAAAAATTAGAATGTTGGGAGTAAATGTAAGCTTTTCAAGGCCAACAACACAGGGACATGTTGTTGGGCTGTGTATGAGTATATTTGAGTCAAATTATAAGAAACCATCCACAACAAAGTCAAGCTTTTTGTCAAATCATCTCTCAGTGACGATCTGAAATAAATAAATAAATAAAAACTGTTCAAATAAATCACTAAAGCTCCATAATTAACATCAGGTATGGTGATGAGTGGATGTAAACCACTCTCCAGAAACGCATGTCTTGCACCGATTGCACATCTATTGTTGGTGAGCGTTTTATCTTGTCTACCCTCATAACGACTCATATTTGAACTACAATTAAATAATAAGAAGGGAAAGCTTTTTTATGTTTACCTGTTTTCTTTCATTCTTTTTTGTCATTTTCTTTTTTTAGACATTCAAAACTTGTTAACCACGACATTGTATATAAAAAAAGACCTAAAGCTGAATCACTGATTATTACTAGGTAAAAGTTTGAGTCTTATCAAACAGAAAGATTCTCCATACAAAATAGGACAAAAAAAAAACCCCACCTAGTTTCAGGCCTGAATGTTATAACCAGCTACAATAATGGATTCATCAGATGGAAGAAGCTTATTCACCCTGATTCGTGTGTATATTTATGATTAGGCGTGTTGTTTCAAACTCCAGCATTAAAAAAAAACAACAACAACAACAACAACTTTATGGCAACTTAGGTAGATTTTAAACTGATGGCTTCTAAACCTACAACCCATGGCAAAACCTGGACAAAAAAGGCAAATGCATCCACTGGGAGTCTTTAGTTATGTTCTATGCCAACGAGCTGGAGTCAATGCACTACAGCTCGTTTGTGGTTTGTCCAAATGCTAGTTAAGAGAAAGTATTCATACCTAAGAGCAAAAACAAACAAACAAACAAACAAAAAAACACACTGGTAGAAGGATATGGTGAATACTGATTGATTGTTGGTGTGTGGGATTAAAGGAAACAGGGGAAATCAGGAGCTGGAGCAGAGGGACTGACGATAGAAAACTGTTTATCTTCTTTGCAAGCCCCTGGAAGGTTTCAGCCAGAGACTCCCAGGAAGAGACGATTACATCACCGCAGCTCTCTTCTGGGCTGCTGCTGCAAAAAGAAATGGAAAAAAACCCCAAAACAAAACATGATATTAGAAACCAAACAGTCTTGATAGAAAGTTTTAGAAAGTCCTCACTCATGCAACAGTGGATTGTGACTGGTTACTGCCACCATCAATATCATGTCGTTGGACTTACGGGTCATTCAGAATTACGGGGGCAGGGGCCAGATCAATGATTTTTGCTTCTTTATTTTAATGACTTATTGGTTATTTTATTTTGCAGTTTAGTTTATCAAAAGAAAATGTCTCAAGGTCACTAATAGAAATAAAGAAGAAAATGTACAGCTTTTGTTCAATTAGCACACAGATGATACTGTTTAAGCATGCACAAGCAGTCATCACTACGTCTAATTCTGGAGTCAAGACTGCAAGCTGGGATTGGGTGATATGCCATATACCTCAACTCTGAAAATAGCAACAGCATTGTTTGAAATACTATTTTTAAGTCTGCAAAGGTATGGTTACATTAAGGCATGAAAGGCTATTATTTCCAATCTGTTTTTCTCTCTTGAATGTTAATATACAAGAGAATTGAATTTGAATACAAGTCTGCAGTACAGCAGACGCCCACGAGCAGCTAGAACCTGTTGAGATTCCCCCCTTATTAATGCCTATTTTATTACTTCAAATACCAAATATACCTTAATATACCTTAACAGACAGTTTAAACCGTCTTAAGGCTCTGCATTGTTGACCCAAAGTGCAAAAATTAATTCTCCTTTTTACAGTTGCATGACATTTTGTTCTCAGTCTTGTCACAACCCCCTTGACAAATATTGCATGCAAAGCTACTGTGTAGTTTTTCAGAATTTCATGGGAGTACTTCTTTTGCCAAAAGAATGACAAAGACCCAGTTCCTTCTGGCAGAGCAGGATGGATAGGTTTGAGAGCGGCAACTGAAATATTTTTGACGATACAGTCCAATTAATGATCCGTGAAAATAATGAGATCATAAATATTACTAATTCAAAAATGTAATTAAATGAACTTGCTGTGTGCAGATTATAAAAAGCTAACTTCTTGATGTAACTGGCGTCATGAAGAAAAATGGGAATATTTCTTAAGAGAAAAATTTGTTTATAGAAAAGCACATAATCATAAACCTTTGGGTCATTATATATATATATTTTTAGTTGAATTACATCCCATATGAAAAAGAAGGTACTGCAATATATTTTTGTAGCACCTTTAATTTTATTAAATAACAATATCAGAATTGTTCAAAATGCACTAAATTTCATGGTGTTATATGATAACATCATAAGCCTTTCATGCTAAAATGTTTTGAGAAATATAAAGTCATTAAGGTGTGGATAACACCCAACCCTATTACAAACAACTTCAGATTGAAATTGTCTCAAATTTACAATTCTGACACATTATAAACATGTTTTGACAAAGGTGTTGTTTAAATGAACAGCTGACCTTATTTCCTGACAATTGGCTGAGACAATTCAGTCCTTAATCTCCTTAATTTTTCAGTCAGCGCCATCACAGAGAGACGTGCACGACGTGGATCTGACCGGCAGCCAATTTTAGTCTAATCTCAGTTCTCAATATAAGCTGGTTTTCTCGTTTGATAGACAAGCCAATTTCCCTCTCCGTGCTCACGTTAGAATTAGATTGGAACAGATTGTTGTGTTTGTAGGGGGACATTTTGACCGAAGCGTAAGCAGAAATATCGGATTCTGTTCTACTTAATCGGGAAAATATGTTGACGGAGAAAGGATAACACAGAAGATTTGCACTGGAAACTGTGGCAGTTCAATTCTCTTTCTTGCTTTTGTTTTAGTCTAACCAAGAATGAATATGAAATAGAAACGGACAGTGAATGTCTATAAAATAATAGTGGCTCTACAGATTGTAGTTAGCAACCAGCATACCTCCAGTTGTAGAATGGACTTCCTTTCATTTTGAGTACTTAAGAACAGAAAGAAGAAACAAGTTCAGTGGGATGTGTGACACGCAAATGCACAAAACAGATACATCATGCACAACTGCATCTCGCCCTCCATCTGCACCTGTGCTTGCATATTTATATTGTTGATTATTTCAGAGCACCACTTGGTTCAGATTGCTTTGTAGCACCAGCTGTAGGAAAAATAAACAACATCTGGATGGTTCTCGGCACATATACACCGACGACGGTCTGCTGTGCACCAGAGTGCTGCTTGAAATTTATAACGGATCTCATTTAGTGCAGCTCTATCTCTTGTCCTCAGAGAACCCCCTCCAACTCTGGGCTTCTTTGTAGTGCTCCCCCTCATACGCCTACTACTCTCGCTGCGATTGTGTGTTATGTATCTGCAATACATGACCTACATACCACATAAGACATCAAACACTTGCAGATTTGGGAGGTGGAGGGAAGGGGGGGGGGATCTTGGCCTAATTATGGCTAAAAATGCAGATAGTTTGATCTACTGACGCACAGCTAATCAAAATCAGCAGGACTCTGTTAGAAACTGTGTTTCGAACAGAAAACTGTTCGATATTTCTCAATATGGTACATGCATTAAAGTGTAAGGGTGGAGCCGGCTTTGACTATGCGCATCACTTGCTGTACTGTACATCAAAACCTTTGTAGTGCAATTTAAAAAATAACGGGATCTCAGAGGAATTATGCAAATCTTCTTCAATAAGTGAGTTGTCAGATGTACGGAGTTGATTAAACACAATAGCTCTGAAGGAAATACAATAAAAGCATATGTTACAGAGACGTCAAATTTCAGGAATTCTGCATATTTTTGTCTAATGGATGGATGGATGGATGGATGGATGGATGGATGGATGGATGGATGGATGGATGGATGGGATCCCGTACCATACATATGTTACCCTAAAAAAAACCTTGATGTGAATATAAAGCACTCAAAAAAAAATAATTCTAATTTGCAAATGTTGCTAAGGTTGCAGCAGTATAAACATTTCCCACCACAATCACCAGCTCAGACATTTCACAGTTTCATTTGATACCATAGCTATTAATATTCTCAAGTAATTTTCAACCTTAGCGTAAAACAGTTAAAACAGTATTTCAAAAGCTGAAATATTCAATACTACTACTTAAACAAAACAAAAAAAAATGTGTGTGGCACAACTTGAATAGTGAAACAAAATGATCATAACTCAGTGAGCTGTTTGCACAGGGAAAAGTATATACCGCTGTGACCCTGTGTTTGAAAAGTAGGCTACTAATAAACCTCCAATTACAAAGGGGGAGGAGAGATGAAATAGATGCAAGAACATTTTTTATAAAACAATATACCCTGTGATATCAAAGGCTATCTACCAATTCAGCATACCTCCAGTGTGGATGCTCTGGAGTCTGTGGTTTCACTTGGGCCTATGCTCCTGGGTATGCTGGATACAAAATATCCTGCTCCTTTGGGAATGATTGGTTGTCTCACCACCACCTTGCCCTTCCTGGTTTCTGCGAGGAACAAGCTATACCAGTAGGCATCACTGGAGATCAGGGTGGAATCTGCGATGGTAGAGCTTCTCTGGCTGATCAGGCTATTTCTGTTGGCTGGGGGCATCTTGATGGCCTTTGGCTTTGGCTTTTGACATTTGAGGACGATGATAACCAAGATGGTTATCAACAACAGAAAGGACACAGCGCCTAAACCAATTACGAGGTACAGGTTTAGGTTGGTGAAGACTTCGTATTCTAATGGTAACTCTGTTGTCTCTAAGAAGGTCATGGCGTGCTCCACCGTTGATATCTTGATGGTAACAGTGGCAGACAAAGCAGGTTGTCCATTGTCTTTTGCAACAACTACCAGCCTCTGCTGCCTTGGGTCTCTGTAGCTGAACATCCTTGTCGTTCGGATCTCTCCGTTGTACTGATCCAGGCTGAAGAGAGTTGAGTCACTGATCTGCAGTAGCTGGTAGGTGACTCTGGCATTCTGCTCAGAGTCCGCATCAACGGCAACCACTTTGGCCACCAAGTGACCTTTCTCTGTGGACCTCGGTATGACCTCCTCAACAACTGAGCCGTGTGCTCGCCATGGTGATACAATGAGGGGAGTGTTGTCATTTTGGTCCAGGATGACAATGTGAACCGTCACATTGCTGCTCAGAGGGGGGACACCAGAGTCCCTGGCCTCAATGTGGAACAGGAACTCCTTCTCTCTCTCATAGTCAAAGGTCTTAAGGCCATAAAGGTCCCCGTTCTCAGGATTGATGGAGAAAAGCATGGACATAGACATGTTAACTATCTCTTTCTCCATTATGAAATAAACCAAGTACTGGTTCTCATTCAAATCTGGGTCATGTGCACTTAGGGATGTCAATAACGCTCCAGGTGGATTGTTCTCCATAACATGGATTGTGTAGAAGGACTGAGAGAACATGGGTGCGTTGTCGTTGACATCCAGGATCTCCAAGGTGATGGTTTCATTCTCAGACAGGGCTGGGAAACCTCTGTCTGTCACTATTAGTTTGATGTCGTATTTGCCTTTGACTTCTCGGTCCAGCGGTTTCCACACCAGCAATTCGAAGTAACCTTCTGAGGACTTGTTCAGACGAAAGGGTAAGGCCTCCTGCTGGTTCAGGTGGAGGTCTACGGCGCCATTGTCTCCAGAATCTCTATCACTGACGCTCACCACAGCAATCAGTGTCCCCACCGAGACATCTTCGGCCACCGATCTCTTCAGGGACTTGATGGTCACTTCTGGGTAGTTATCATTTAGATCTGTGACGTAAACCATCACTTTGCAGTGTCCTGACAGCGGGTTCGCCCCTCTGTCCTGAGCCTGAATGTACATCTCAAAACTCTGACTCTCTTCATAATCGATCACCCCCTTCACTTTGATCTCGCCTGACTGTGGATCTAGGGAGAAGAGCTCCTGCGTCTTCTCCGAGGTGTAAAGGGTATACGAGTATATTAATTTCGCGTTTGTGCCTTCGTCTAAATCAGTCGCGTTCAATGTCATCACCACCGTCCCCGCTGGAGAGTTCTCCGAAACGTTGACAGCAAAAACGGGCAGACTGAACGTGGGGGCGTTATCATTGATGTCCAGCACGTTAATAATTATGCTGGCCGTACCAGAGCGGGGAGGCACACCTCCATCCACCGCAGTTAAAATCAAATTGTGAATCGCACGCTCCTCTCTGTCCAGTTTGCCGTCGAGCACTAGATCTACGTATTTGGAGCCGTCGCTGCCCGTCTGGATGTCAATGCTGAAGTATTTGCTTTCGCTCAGATAGTAGGTCTTGACCGAGTTCGCCCCCACATCCGCATCCACGGCGTTGGTCAGGGAGAATCTCTCACCGGGAGGGGTTGCCTCAGAAACGTCCAAGTGCATTGTCTTCCGACGAAAAACGGGCGCGTTGTCGTTGATGTCCAAGATCTCCAGCTCGATGTTGAAAATGCGAACGGGGTTGGAGAGTATGACATCCATTTTCAGGAAGCATGAGGTTGTTTTAGTCATGCATATGCTCTCCCGGTCCATCTTCTCGCGGATGACCAGCTCGCCCGTGTCTTTGTTAATGTCGAGGTAATTTTTGCTGTGAATGACATCGAGCTTCGCATTGCGCTCCAGCAAGCTGCGAACGTCCAGACCCAGGTCTGAGGCCAGGTTGGCAACAAAGGAACCCTCTTCCATCTCCTCCGGTATGGAGTAGCGGGTGATGGAGAGCGCAGATCCCCACAGCGCGACAAAAACCGTGAGAGCGGCCACGAACGAACGAGTCCGTGTAGTTGCACAATTAAGCGCCATTGTTAGCGTTAACACAAGAGATAAATGTCACAAATCTGTTCTTACGACCGTGTTGTCTTCGTGCAAAGGATCACCGGTGACATTTCTAGCCTCCGCGAGTTGTAGCAGCCGCTGCAGCAGGCCATCTGAGGTGTGGAGCCGCTGGAGGAGCGGTGTGCGCGCTGACGGCCAACGCAGGGGCGTAACACAGATCCAGGAGGCAGCGGGGCTTTTTGTTTATCACCAAATGGTGCCTATCATAATAGCTGCACTGAAGCAAAAATACCTTTACATAAAATAATAATAATAAAAAAATAAAATAAAAAAACGAATCTATGTTTTAATAGTATGTTTTCAAACTGTTTTGTTTCAATTTATTTAAACCACTTAACCAGAAAAACAAAACAAAACAAAAAAACCTGCACATATTTAAAGATCTTACAGTAAAACACAAAATACACATTTTTATGTTAGAGTACCTTGAAAAACATCTCGACTGAAACTTGAGCTTTATTATTGTTCTTTCATTCATTGTTTAGTAAACATATATACTTTATATTTGCCCCTGCATCATGTTTCTCTTTCTTTTACATTATAATCTGATAGGTGTGGCATCTGAATATATCGCCAACTGACTTCACTCTGAATCAGAATCCAACACTATTAGTTACTTTTTTTTAAAGAAATTAGTAAATTGAGTCCAACTGTAGTAAAACACTGGACAGAAATGCGTACAATAGACTGATGTTAAGCTTTATGCAAGACAACAATAACAGAAAAATGCAGCAAGAGCTACAAACGAATTGTTTAGATCAAACTGGATTTTTGTATCGGAACGGTTGAATTAAAGATCAGACCTAATTCAATCTGTGTGAAGATTTTAAAATTGATTTTCACAGACCATTTCCGTCAAATATAGGATAATTTCCAAAAAAGAAAGACAAAAATGGTTGGAGTTATATTAATGCTACCACAATTTTTAGGTTTTTATTTGCAAAAAACTTGAAACATCACATGGAAACAAATATTGTTCATGTACTTTTTTTTTCATATTCATCAACATTCCCACTCCCAGCTCCATCTTCCCCCTTATCCCCATCGTCTTTTCTCTTATTAAATTTAATCTGTCTATGACTAGTCCGGTTTAGTTGCTTCAGCTTTTCTCAGTCTCATGACAACTTCCTCAGATTTTGTAATTACAAACACCAGGACAGGTCTTTATTAAAGCTTTTAGTGTCAAATTCATCATAACAAAGTTCCTCTGATCATTTCTTGCTTGTTTTCCATTTATGAAGGTTTAGAGTGATTACATTCCCATGTATAATGTTATTGAGGATGTCTGAATGCAATTGAACAAGATGCTGCCAGTATCTGTATGAGTTTATTGTAAATACCCACAAATCTTCCGCAGTATGAACAGCCTCTCTGCTTTAACAGAATAACACAAGATGACAAAGAAAGCAATATGACTGACTTGTCATCAAACAGTTTGTCTGTGAGAGCAGCCTGGACTCTATTGTTCACATTGTCTCCACACTGTCAGCGCTGTAGCAGTTTACAAAGTACAATTGGAGAGATTAGGGAAGCTATCCGTCTAGTTTTAGACGCTCTTTGAGACCTTCTGGATGAGTCCTTGATTCTCTCTTGGAGGGATTGTTGTAGGGAAGCCACAACTTAGAAGTTTCACCAGTGCTCCCTATTTCCAATTTATGTGAGTTATTGCTCTCACTGTCATCCGCCGCATGGAATCCCAATGCCTTAGAAATGGTTTGGCAGTCATTCCAAGACTGACAAACGTCAATAACTTTACTTCTCGTGTTCTCTTGAATTTCCTTAGATTATGGTATTTTGTTTTCGGAGATCTCTTAGCCTACTTTTCTTCTTACTACTTTTATTTCTCTTACAAATCCACCTCATAAAAATTAATAATGAATTTAAATTAAAACCGTTTTTTTTCTTCTATTAAATGATTATGTCATGACGACTTGAACATTTCAGAGAACAAATGGCAACAGCATTTTGAAAATGTAATGCACAAAATTTGCATTCGTGTTGAAAAATATCTGGTTGCGAATTGCAAGAAAGGCTACATGAGATATGCGGCTGAAAGTCTATGAAATATTGTTTGCAATCATTACGATGCCTTTCTGCCATCTAGTGGCACTGCCAGGAAATACATCTATCTCTTCAAACGTTTTGCAACTACTACTAATAATATTTTATCTATAATCTATGTCTGTCTAAATTATATTAAAATCTGTCAAACTCCAAAGGATTGTAGACATATTCAGATTCATATACGCATATTTAGATTCAATTACACAGTCTTGTTTTATCCAAAAGAGATAATGTAGTACGATCATATATATCATATCATATATCATATATATATATATATATATATATATATATATATATATATATATATATATATATATATATATATATATATATATATATATATATATATATATATATCAGAATGAGCTGCCATCTGTTGTGACCAACTCGGGGCTGGAAGAAGAGGAAGCACAAACAAATGAAACCAAGGAACAAACAAGGACAGAAGCACAGAGTTAGTGGCAGCAATTGGTCCATTAATGGTTTTGCCAGTGAGAGAAAAGCAGTTTAGAGAAAATAACTGAGTAAAATGGTCAACAAAGAAAGGAAGAAAAAAACAGAAAGAATTCAAAGTTAATCACTTTGATTTGTTACAACACCCTGATTTCCTAAATACAGATCAAATTTCTTTTATAAATATATTTTCACGCCTTCTATTTCCGAAGACTGATATAGCCAAACTATAGACAAGCAATGATAAGATGCAAAAGAGAAAATAAAAAAGTAAAAATAATAATAAAAATAAAAAAAATCACCATCTCAGGCGCTGGAAGACTTGATAGTGATAATCTGTGGGAAAATGATGCCCTCTAGTGGATATTAAAAAGAAGTTCACATGTCCTGGAGGAGAATATAGTCTTACAAATTAATAGAAAATATGTCAGGGAAACAATAGTTTCTAAAAATGATTCTTCCAAAACAAAACTAGCTCATATGTATTTTCATTGTACAGATCATGCAACATGTTATTCACAAATTCTGACTCTTTTCTCTTGCGTGTGATACATTTTCAAATAAATTTCAGGCTGATGAATTGGAATAATTGGCAGTATGTAGCAGTGGGACTGTCGGGATTCCTCCTTCAAATCCCTTCAACTCCCCAAATGTCATTTCGGACAGATGGAAGATTATTATTATTATTTTTTTATCCATCTGACATTATTTTCCAAGAGTTTGATATAAATTCAGAGACTGGCCCCTGGCAGCGCAGCGTTTTGAGCGTGAAGCTGTTCACTGAGGCGGTCAGGCTCAAGCAAGCTCAAGATTAACCCAGTGGTCTGTGGCGGCTCAGTTAGAGGCGGCGGATCTTAAGGATAATCTCTGTCGCTGCAGTTTAAAATCTGAGGTTTACTGACCAGAATGTCAGGAAGAAAGGTTAAAAGACATTTTCTGCTTTGAGTCTGAAAAAGCTCACATTTTTCCAATTCGCCCCCACCGCAGTCTTGTCTTGTCCCTGGGCTGGAGCTCCTGTCTTTTATTAGCAGAGAAGATTAGTAGGGTTCACGGCGCTTCATTACATCTGAGTATGTTATTACATACTTTATCAAACTGGGAATTGGCAGAAACTGAATGGATTGTTCTGAATAAATAAGACTCTGGAGCTCAGCTTTGCTCAGAATCAAAGTCAGCTTCTAGGGAAATACTAATCCTATTACTTTTCCAAAGGTTGCATAGACGACTAATTTTTCTTTTTATCAGGTTTCTCTCAGCCTTTTGAGCACGAAAAGATCTCCTTGCAAGCTGAATTGTATGTTAAATGCCTTAATGCTGTATTTGACACAGAGTCCCTTTGTTGATGCTTTCTAGAGACACATTTTTAAGTTATTTTTAAAAATTTAAACCAGCTCTGGAAGCTTTTGGAATGCTCTCCTACTCCACTTTTCTGGCATTTATCCATGAAACCCTTCTTATTCACCAACATGTTCAGTTATATATAATTTTTTTTTTTGTTCTACTTCATGCAATGACCTTTTATTTCTTTATGTTCTTTCTCAGATTTTCTATCCAAACAGCTTACGGAAACAAATCGGTGTGTCTGGTTGCCTTTACCACGTCAGGGCAACCAGACACACTTATCCAAGTTCATTTACTGTGCTTATTCAATTGCCAACTAAAACAAACGTGAACAAATTTAGTTGGATAAACTTAGCTAAACATGTGATCGATTAGAGCTGCATTCTCTGTTTTTTTTCTGTGTTGCAAAAACAAAAAAAGGAAAACAGAGGAACATTTTAGGAGCTTGCTTGTTTAAAATAAATAATGATAATCAGGGGAATCAGGGTGGTTAGTAACTACCACTGCTCAAAAAAATAAAGGGAACACTCAAATAACACATCCTAGATCTGAATGAATGAAATATTCTCATTGAATACTTTGTTCTGTACAAAGTTGAATATGCTGACAACAAAATCACACAAAAATCATCAATGGAAATCAAATTTATTAACCAATGGAGGCCTGGATTTGGAGCCACACACAAAATTAAAGTGAAATGTTCCCTTTATTTTTTTGAGCAGTATATGTGTTCCCATTGGCTTAGTGTGATTCTTATCTTGCCTATTCAGTTCATCCCTTTTTACTCAGTCTGTTCTGCAAATAAATAGTGTGTTTGTGTGACATTGGCTAAAATTAGAGAAAGCCTGGGTCGGGTGGTTGTTTTGTTAGGTTACTACGTTTTTGCTTAATCTGTTTTACAAAATAAATTTAATAATGTTGCTTCAGTTAGAGGTCTTAGTGGTGGTGGTGGTGGTAGTAATTTAGTTTCAGGTATCGATCGGAAACAGAAGCCCGGTTTGCCATAAACAAACAACCAAACAAATACTAACACATGACCACCTCTGCTGTTTCCCAAGGCTGTTCTCCTGGGTCCACATACATGTGTCTGTGTGTTACTGCTCGTTTTCCAGAAACACGTGTGGCGAGCACACAGAAATTAACCGGCGAAGTACGTCAGACAGTGCAGAGGTGCCTGCAAACAGACAGGTGGGAGGGTATCTCTGTCTGGGAACGGCCTTCGAAAGTCTTGTGATGGGGACGAGAAAACCACAGGCACATGGTGTCAGGGCAAACGCAGATTGGCTCCAGGATCCAAACAAGGCAGTCACCACAACATCATAAGTTCATCCACAATGCAACCCTCCCCTCCCTCTTCCCCCCACTCCGACCAAGGCCAAGTAAAGGACTCCCTGCAGAGCCATGGTGGTCGAACCCAAACCAAAGACCGCCAACTGCTACCCATCAACAAAACCAGCGGGGGCTGGACCACACTGAGTGAATTAGCAGCCTCTGCTCAGTACACGCCTTGCAAGTAAACTGTGAATTTGCCCCCCCGGCTCCACCAACACTCGGTCTGAAGCTGACCCAACCGCCACTTGGATTTAATTTTTTCGTGAAGCATCCTTGGGCTTTTTTTTTTTTTTTTTTAAATAAGTTGTCAATAATTATATTATTATAGTTGCAGTGAGAAACAAAAACCAAGAGCGATTTTCAAAGAAGGATTTATTAATAATTCATACCGATACCCTATACATTATTCACTGGACCTAAAGGGATCCCTCTGACTGAATGTAATAAAAGATTATTTAGTCACATGTGGATCATATCTAGTGAGCTGTAGGAAACCTGGAAGTCATTTCAAGCGGCGACTTTGCAGCCTGGGTAATGACTGCCTTTAATCAAACTGACAGGAAAATGACTGCAGATTTTTCATCCAAAATATACCTGTGAATATCAGCACCCGCAGAAATGCGTCGTTTTTATCAGAAAAACAAACAAACAAAAGAAGTAAAATGAATCAGTTGCAAGCAATTTGAAAAATTATTTCTAGGTTTGCTTTGTCATTTTATGTTAGGATTCATTTTTAAAGTAATGATCATTTTTTCAGAAGAGCTGCAATAAATTGAATTGAAAAATATATATATGTTTATGTGTGCTTCAATAGAATAAAGTAGAATGTTTATGTACAATGGACTATATAGGGAATTTATTTACTTTAATACACTATACTGCATCCAAAACTCCCACCCTACTCCAACTCCTCAAAGACATATGTAAAAATCCTTAAGATAAACTAAAATAAAAAAATAAAAAATATGTGCTGTTATCCATTGAAAAACTGTTCTAGGTTCCCTGTCTCCATTGCCATCCTGCGAAAAGTACTTGTGAAAACTGGTAATTCATGTACCTGGTAAACAGAAAGTCATGAATCAGAAAGAACAAACTCCTAGACACTGATTAAATAATAATAATAATAATAATAATAATAAAGTCTGAATATAAAGCCTTCTTCAGATAGATTTACCTCTCCAGGATCTGTGCTCTCTTTGGTTTTGCAATAAACAATGACCTTTTTATGTAGAATTATTTTTTTCCCCATTCAAGAAATGTATTCAAGCAAGAGCGAGGACATTCCTTATATTTTTCAGTAGAAGGTTATCCTGCTCAAATGAAAAATGCATTGATTTCAGAGCTTTTCAAACATTTGTATCAAGGGTGGAAATGAAGGGGAAGGCTGCTGTGCTAAACAGTAATATATTTCACTTTGTTTCAACTTGTTTCCTGTCAATATGCATCAAGAATGACTGGGTCGCCCCTGCGACACGTTAGTTATATAAACTTCAGTACAAATCTGCCATCGATCCGCAGAAAACTGACAGTCTTGTGTGCAGCTTGGGGCAACACTCATAGTCTCTAAGAAAAAGTTGGATCTTGTTTTTACAAATACGCTGCTAACGTAACAGTTTCGAAGTGTCCGGCCGTCTCATTTGAAAATGGAATTGCTTATGACGCCGTCGTCCGCGTCAAACGTCTGCTCGTAGTTGGACATGAATTTCTTCTTCTTCTTGCCAAAGGTGGAGAAGGTGTTGTAGACGTCCAGGTCTCCTCTGGGCGTCAGCTTCAGTGTGCTGTAGCCGGACGGCGTTCCGGGAATGTAAACGTTGTGCTGATAATCTGCTCCCTCCGAATGAAGCTGAGTGTGCTTCGGAGTCCACGAGTAGTTGGGAGGCGCTCCCTCTTGAAGAGATCTCTTGCAGTCTGTTTAAAAAAATGAATAAAATGAAAAATGTGCATTAATTAGCCTACATTGGGGCAAAATTCAGGAAATGAGCTCATATGTAAATACACTTTACTTGATCTGGACACTGTGGCTTTTAAAAGCATCTTCCTAATTCAGCTTTTTAGCGAATAATACCCCTTGAGGGGACTTAAATAATTCTCATACTGAAGCGGTAAAATCCCCCCACCTCCCCTACTTTTGGGATTTGGCATTATCTGCTTTATGGTTTATCATTTCATGTCTTTGACAAAAATCCCTCTGGAACAGACGCAGGGAAAGCCTCGCGCTTAATCTACTTATAACCTCTTTCATATATGCAACGGTATACTAAAACTGGACCTACCGTTCATTTGGTTTCCCCAAGTCCAGTACTGTGGCGCCACAGTGCAGGTGAAACCATCAGGGTCACACTTTGCCTGCCTTGAAAGAGTTCCCTCCATATTAGCTGAGCTATATCTAAAAAAAAAAAAAAAAAAGAAGTCTTAACTGATAATCTGCATGAATATTCCAGATTTTAACTGAACATCTGGATAAACTCACCTATAAGCCGAGTTACGCTGGTTCTTGGTCCAAGTCAAGTTCTTATGCGAATACTTGAGCTGCAACGTAAAGACACTTTGTAAATCACAATGAGATATTGAATAAATATGATCGAGCGGAAAGGAAGCAATAATGATCAATCAATCTGAGCCACGTCTACCCACTTCAAACAATGAACAGAGTGGCAACAGAGGTAGAGGACTTCCAAAGCTCACCGTAAGATATCTGCGCCAAAAAGTAACAACTTGTGGTTTTTTAAGTGCTTTATAACAATCATTGTAGATAACGTACAGGTCAGCCAGCAAGTGACGTTGGAAGAAAGTCACTGTCTCTCTCCATGTCACACATGAATGCAGTTTTGTAAACTCTACTGAGACTTTAAATGGAATTATGTGTTGTAGTCCAATGAGGCCAAGATTGAGGGTTTTTTTTTTTTTTTAGCAGCAAAGGGTGAAAATGTGGAAAAGTCCTCAAAGCTAACTGTTAAGTACGGTGGTAGATCAGTGGTGCTGTGGGACTTAATCTCATTATATCTAAATGTTTCTGGCACAACCTCATCTATTTCCAAGATGCACAGAGAAGGACAAGGATCTGGTGACACGAAGACTGCAGCAACACTTGGAGTACCAGGGAACAACTTTATTAACAGATCAATGCAGGTTTTGCCTTGTATAATTCAAAGAGCCTGAGAAACTTGTCTGAGTCTGGCTTCACGATCCCTTTAAAACTCTGAGACGTTTGAAAATACACGGGCACTACAACAAAGAAATGATTCATCAGGCACAAAATCAACTTTCTTTCATGGCCTTTTCTTCAGGATTTATCGATGTAAGTCGTCAATCAATCTCAACTCCGACCACCATCTCTTTTCTCTGGAAAAGAAAGGCATTCCCCAAGGCATGGTGCTGCCAACACCGTGTTTCACCGAAGGGATGGAAGTGTTCCTGGTTCTTGGCTGTGATCGCTTTCTGCAAGCACATAGTGTGTTTGACCAAAGGTTAAACCAGAAAATCTCACACTGCTTGGCTCTGCAAAATCCTATTGAAGTAGAGAAAATTTGGGGCTATAGCATAAATGTGGGATATCAATACTTTTTACACTGCCCTGTCATGTTTTTTTTTTTCTTTTTTATGACCTTTACCTCATTCGGGGTCGCTGCTCTGTTGTTGGACAGCTCATTGCGCTCCAGCGTGCTCCAACCTGAGGTCAGGTAGTCCGTGCTCTTGGTGTTGTTCTGCTGAACCGACAGGACAGGACTGCAAGGTTTTAGGAACATAAAGTCACTTTTGGATGACTCCGGGGTCAGGCACATTTTGTAGCAGTACACCTGCGGGTGCGCGCCGCCGCCAACGCCGTTCGTCTCCGCGCATCCTGACGCACCTGCAGCGGACATGCGGACGTTCAGGTTGGACTTTTTGAAAACCTCTGTGGTGGCGGCGGTGGTGGTGGTGTTGGAGGAGGGCAGCTGTGAATGGGAACAACAGCCGCAGCAGTCGCCGACGGAGGGGAGGCCGGACGTCTTGCTGGGCACTCTGCCCTTCAGTCTCCTCGCTGTGACGAGGACGATGATGGCCAGCAGGAATGTGAAGGAGACTGCACCCAGAGCCATGATTAAGTACAGGGTGAAGCTGGAGCTGTGATGCGGGCTCTGTGACAGGTCACCCAAATCAGGCTGTAAATCTGGCAGGCTGTCAACTACTGACAAAATGATGGAAACCGTGGCCGAGAGGGGCGGCTGACCATTGTCCTTCACCAGAATGACCAGGCTGTGCCTGGTGGGCTCTTTCTCCTCTATCTGGCGCATCGTCCTGATCTCGCCCGTGTACAGAGCCACGCTGAACAAGCTGGGATCCGTGGCTTGGAGCATTTGATAAAACAGACGCGAGTTCTGACCCGCGTCCGCGTCTGCCGCGTTGATCCGAGCCACCAGGTAGCCAGCGTCCACCGATCTGGGCACGTTTTCGTTCGGCGCGGTGCCGTTCTGCGTAACGGGGGACACGATCACGGGCGCGTTGTCG